CGTAATTAGTTTTAAGTACTGACACAGATATATATATATATATATATATATGGTCAATTTAATAACATTACCAATTACAATTACTCTTTTTCGAAAGTTTTTATGAAAGTGATTTCTCGTATAAAATTTTAAATTACTCGTGTAAAGATGAGTCAAAGTCAAAGTGCGCGTGTGCTTATTTTTGGAAACGAACGATCGATTTCCCGTGTCTGAAATAATGAAGTGCTTTCCTACAGTCTGTCTATGTCGAATAGACGTTCGACAATGCGAAGAGGACCACAACCGACAATAGGGCAAAGTAATACAGAACGATGTGATCGAAGTCATAATTAAAATCTAATGTTACCGAGAACCTCCAACTCGAAATGAATTGTTACCGCACACGCGATGTGATCGATCATCCGCGGTGCATTACGGAATAAAAGGCCTCATCGTGCTATCGTGGAATCCACAACGAGCAAAGCAGCGCGATCCGTTCGTATTTTCATGTCAGGCCGCGCGTACCGCTTTGAATAGCAAGTATTTCGCGGAAGGAACGAGTCTTCTTATACCTCTCTCTCTTTTGACGAGAGAGAGAGAGAGAGAGAGAGAGAGACATGTACATGTAATCATCACGCTGAAAGGGGTGCGCTGTCCTCAGCTGTATTTTGCCGCGACGTTTATCTTTCCGCAACGTTACATTAGGTAGATTGAATTGCGATCGTGGGGTAGATATTATAAAATATTCGCTGGGTAGCAAAACTAATAATTTAAATGATAAAAATGAAAACTAAATACAAAACGGAAGGGTATGAAATACATGTATTTTATATTTCCGTTTCCGTTACCCTCCTCATGCATGAAAATCTGTGAAAGAAATCTGAATTATCTCCCGGAAAAGGGGGTAATCTTACAATTCTTCACTCGCCTACGATCCACGATTTCAAAATCTGTATCAAATTTTCAAGACGCTATCTCGTGAAATTGAAATAAACTGTCTATTGACACTGGCAGCAAAATTAATATCAAACTCATCAACCCTTCTGACCTGTTCTGAGGACGATGCAAACAGAGGGTATATATATATATATATATACCGGGTGCAACTCACCTCGAATGCAGAACGCAGCCGCGCTGCACCGTAATGTAACTCGATGCTGGTGGTGGCGGTGGGGGTGTGAGGTACGTCGACGGTGGTAGTTCATGTCTATGGGGATGGTTGTGCTGATGATTATGAGAATGGCTCAGGGCACCTCGCAGAGTCCCAGGCAGATGGCGATGTGGCGTTGACGGCTCGCTGAAACATCAACGAACGAAAAAGATGTTGGTCAAGAGAGTGCTGGAACTCTCCCGTGGTTATTCTTTTTCCACCAGGTATGTACCAGGAACAGATGAGGTCATACCCATGGTCGATCGTACAGAAGAGTCGACTCTACTGTCGGTAACACCCGGCGTAAGATAAGAATCGTAAAAGAGACGTGCAATTTCGAGCGAGTATAATTGAAAGTCATATAATTTATTTATGCAAATTCTTCTTAATGGTTTTTTCTGACAAAAAAACGGAACGCTTTTTGAAATACGTAGAACGTAATAAAAAAATTATGATGTTTGTAGTTTTCAAAAGAGAAAAATATTCTATTTTATTTGGACTCATTTAAGTTAAAAAGACAGCACAGATTTATTATCTCAGTATGTAAAAAATAAATAGACATATCTCGCTTTTTTCCTTGTAATAAATTATTTGCAAAAGTACGCGCGCCGGATGAAACTGTACTCTTAAATCTCACAATCCCATAAATTTCGCAAAGGAATAAAACATTCAAAATCCCGCTTTCAAAATTAATTAATGATATAGGTCATGTGGAACATAATGTCCTTTTTTTATTTCCTTCATTACGTTACTACATTCGTCCTACATGTTTTTTTCATAATCGATTTGAAGGAATCTAATTCTTATCCAATAATCGATAAAACATTATCAGATCAGACACAGATATTTTCAATCTCTTTCGCACTAATGTTGATGTTTATTTAAATGATGACGTCATGACCTTTCTGTATATTTCAATACTTGTCAGTTATCGACCAATATCAGTCAGATAAATTCTAAGATAAGAAACATCTTTCATCAACAGTAATAACATAAAAAAGATTCATAAAATGAAATATATAAGATCTCTCGTTTTAAAATTCACATCTGAATAATTTTGGAAAAGAATTTGGAAAAGAATAGACAAATTACTCAAAGAGAAAAAATATTTTTTTTCATCGTTTTAGAGAAAAAAATAGAATACATTTTTTTTGTGAGATAACTTTTTGTGAGATAACAAATACTGCTATTTTCCAAATGGACTTGAGCAATCTTTTTTAATAAATGTAATATGATCCTTTCATTGATTTATCTGCTTATAAAAATATTAAGATAAGGCTATCAAAATTTCACGAGATATTTTATATTTTATATCAAAATACGTTAAAATAAAATATGAAATATCTCGTTAACTTTTAAGTTTACCTTAATACTTTTATGTGCAAAATAAAGGAATCGTGTTACATAAAATTTCATATAGTTCCATTTTGAAAAAATTCCGAGGTTGACCATATTTGATAAAAACATATAAAAAACTGTTACATTCATGACATTGTCCTTCTAAAACATATCTTCCTCCTCTATGAAATTTTTGCTTGATCAATTTTTTGTAATACTTGACTTCTCAGAATTGCTTAATTGAAATTACTAAAATAAAACACTCTCCATAAACAAATTTATTTTTTAATATATATATATATATATATATGGCAAGTAGTCGTTGACGTGAGAAATTTCTTTTACAAATGAAAAACATTCCAGACGTGGTTTCGAGCGCTCCCGATTAGAGTACCGGGTTAATGGCGAACGCGAGCATCGAGATCGCGCACCATTTGGCTCGGTCAACTCCCCGTATCGATACGAGCAATGCAAAAAAGATGCAAAAAAGATACATCTTTGCAATTCGCCGGATTCGATCACGCGGAATGCAATCTTGCAGATCGGTTTCCAACATCGCGAGGGATAATCGCGACGCGTGCATTTTGTGTTTCGCCGGTTTATCCGAAAATAAACGCGACGGGAGGGGGAGGGGGACAAACATATACAAACCTTCCTTTCAATGTGCTTTTCATTATGGATTTTTTGGGATTCGATTTGTTTTCGCACCTGCCAGTAATTGCACGCGGAGGGACGCTCGTTACATCCGGTCGCAAGGCACTGTTGCACCTGGGCCCCCTTTTAGTCAGAAATTCTGGTGGGGTTTGTGTGCACACACAATAAAAATAAAGCGTATCCTTCCGGAAAGTTTCGCTATTTGTTCGAAACATTTCCATACATATCTAATCGCTCTTTTGTGTGTTTATGAACGGATGCATCAGTTCATTAATTAGTGAATTTTCTGATAAATATAAATTTGCTCCTTTAATTAAAAGTAGATGTAACCGTAAACGTAATATTGTACATATAAATAAAATGTAACATAGATGATTGTGGATCATTCCACAAATACAAATAGATTCAAGATTTCAAAAATCGACATAAATTTAATCATTCATTTTCGCGTTTTTTAACTCGAATTTTCGACAAGAAAAGATAAAAGAGATTGCAAAAAGGATTTTAATTTTACCAAAATATGTGGAACATGTACGTTATAATAATTGCCCGTGATTATGTAATGTTTCTCACAGGTAGATAAAATTTATCGGTGGTAACGTGTGAAACTCCTCAAACTGAAACCGGAAATGTCAAAAGGAACGAGTGTGGGATTCTTATCTAACACCGAACTAATCTTCCCGCTTTCTGTCGCGCCGTTATCATTTAGTCGTCCAATAAAAATGAAACCAGGGAAAAAACGTACGTCCGGTGCATGTATGGTGAACGTGATAGTTTTCACAAAGTTCTAACAGGCTTGATTCTTCGAGCTTTATTCTTCTAATGGAACGATTGAAAATTTTCTACGGGGCGACAAAACTTGGCTGATGAATTCGATGAGTTTTTAATAGACGATAATGATTTCGCGAGGCGAAACTTTGATCGCATACTATCGGCTGGAGTATGTGTCTCGACACGCTGTAATGAAGCCGGGTAGCGCAAAGTTCTAAGAATAGCGATGCTTTGGACGAGATGAAGACTGACGTGCGTTTCGCGAAAGAGAGTAATTAGACGTCGCGCCGGGTGTTATCAAGATCCATGCGTGTAATCGCAGTGAATCGCTGAGTAATTAGGTGAACGAGAACAAACATGTACGAGTAATTCAACGGTATGAGTATTCTTCGTTTTACATGATTAAAAAAACGACACGTTGCGAGTCTAAAAATATATTTCTTGGAGAAAATGAAAATGAATTCCCCGTAGAAAGTTTCAAGTAAATTTTCAAATAAATGCACGTTTTCGAGATAAATTAAGCTAGATAAATTAAATAGAAAACCCACTAACCAGAGACTCATAAGATTATTCAGATATTTATTTAAATAATTTCCAGTCAAGAATAAGCGAATTCGCTTGAAGGCTACTTGCTACGTATGCACACGTTTCTGGTTTTCGAGAATAATTATATTTAGGAATTTCAACTGAGTTTATATTACATTCCATAATTGATATGAAACTCGAATACAAAGCACTATAAACGTAGATGTCTGTGTAATAACAACAGAGCGTTGTAAACAGAAGCATCTCAACGGAGCATCTCAACCTTTACTCGGATCTTCTTCAACTAAATTGAAGTACCGTTGTGAATGACGGAACGTTTCAATCTTTATTCGATTCCTCTTCAATCAAGGTACAAATATCGACTTTACTTTGTTCGAGGAAGCCTAAGAAAAATATCAAATTCGTTATTTGTATTTACACAAAAAGAATGGTTTTGCTGAAAATATTAAAAAATGTAATCTAAAAATAATTTTAGGCCATCAAGATTATTATGTAGAATAAGCATAATAATAATAATAATAATAGATGAAATTTCTGGTATTTTAGCAATCAATTTGAACGTCTTACATAAACTAATTCTAATGGCCCAACAAAATTATATTCAAATTCAAATCCGATTAAATTTTTAGATATTTCAGCCTGTTTTTTTTTTTTCCATGTGCATTTCTTTCCTGGCTTTCCTTGACTTGGATATGTCGGCATCGATAATATTGGATTTCCCCTTTGGACTCCCGGGTACGGAAAGAGATTAAGAAAAAGTTTAAACAAGGATTCGTTACAAACTACCGGGGTAAGAAGCGCAGCTCGGATCGACACGGAGGGCTTAAAAATGCAAGCCCTAAATCCGCCACGAACACCGGTGCGCGCGGCGTAATTCAAGACCGTCGTGCTAGGGTTCCAGAAAGGGGTTCGTCGCGCAAATGTTTAACGAGAAGTCACGGAAAAACGCGGGGATCGCTTCGTGTATCCGCGCAATTCGCCCGATGCAGCACGCTCGTACAATAAGTTATGCGCGAGGAGGACGAGAGAAGAAGGGCAAACGAGCGAAGCCGAGTCGGAGGGAAGATTGTGAGGTATTCCTGCGCGTATGAATGTTTCAAAGTGGCAGCAAAGACACGTTTTATTCCGCAGACCGCGGAGTGTGCGTCTCAAACTTTATATTTTATGGCCGAAAAATTACGACTGGCGTTCTCTGCAAATATTCTGTAAAAAAAAAAAAAAGGAGCATGTGAAGAGTGCACAGAATATAAAGCACAGATCACAAAACGAAGAGAAAGAACGCGAGACGCTTTCGTCTCGTTTTCTTCTCTACAGTCGTACAGTTGCACAAATAAGAAACTGTGCACGAAGCGTTAAGTTCCACATTCGGTGGATCGCATCTTTATATTCTAATTTATATTCTAATCAAACTTGAATTGAAAACCCACAGTTTTTATTTTATTAAAAACTGCAAAAGATGAAATTTTCATGATTTTGTTTTAGAATTCAAGTTGATAGTTAAATTTTCTTTCGCGTTAAATATCAGTGTCCCGAAAAGAAATTCAAGGAGAAGATCTAAAAATATTAATCAGGAAATCTCAGGAAATGCTAAATTGTTTATTTCCGATATCGCAATAATCCCATCTTTTTTTGTAAGAGTGTACATTGCTGCATTGCTGCATTACGAAGGATCGGTACTGATCTTCTCAGAGTCTTCTCAGGTCTTCCACGTCGGTAAAATCCCTCAACCTTAATTCACAGCGATTCCCAACCAGTGGTTCGCAACGTCTTGGAAAATTGAAAGATATTCATGCCTAGTGAAAATTCTACATTTTCAATTTTTCTCTTTTTCTCTTGGC